AGTCGAGTCCAAAACGAGACCGAGACCATCAATAAATGGTCTCGAGACCAAGACCGATCTCGAGCACTGCCAGAGATTGAGGGAAATATCTCGAAGAATAAACATCAGAACCATTGCACATGGCAGAAATATGTGTAGGTGTGTGGGGGAAGGAATTAACTGCCCATACCAGTTCTGTTCAACAAAAGGATGTTGAACAGTATTATTTTTCATTGCATATGCCTTGAACTTTAACAAATGCAAAGTGGTGCATAATTGCAAAATGGAAGGATAATTGTTGATTTTTTCAGTCTTAATTGATATGACTAAAAACAAGGAAATCTGAACACTGGGTTGTGACTGTGAGAATTTGGGTTTTTGTGTGTATTTTTGTGTTAATTTAGTCTTTGTGTTGTCGCGGCTACCTCTTGATTATTCCCAGCTGTCCCTTGTTTCCCCCGATTATCTTCCCTGTGTATTTATACCCACCATGTCTCTTGTTCCCTGTTGGGTCCTCCTCTATTGTCAGAAGTCTTTTGTCAGTTGTTAAATGTTTGTTGAAGTGGCTACCAGAGTCAGAGCTATTGCTGCTGCTCACCTGTGCTGCCTGGATTTTCATGTACCAATTCATCATTAAAAACCATCATTATCCAACGTACCTGGGTCCTGCCGTGTCCATCCTCACTACCACAAACCGCACCTCATGACAGTTACTCCCAGTTAGGTGTAGATCTAGTCTATTCTAATAGATAAATATGCTTTGATCTAAATTCTTTTTCCTCTTTAGGTCAGGCTGTATATTTAGTCATTGTACTAGTGGCATTTGAACTTTGTTCCCAGTCTGTATTGCAGACAAAATTTGAAGAGAGGAAAAACAAACAATCTACTCTGAACTAAACTGATATTACCAGGACAATGTCAGTATTGGTGACAGAAACTCAGTGATGGATGAATGGGAAAAACTCTGAAAGAAAAAAACTCACAAAAGTCTGACCATCAAAACACCTCTTTTCTTACAGCATGGAGCCTGCTGGAGAAACTTGGTTGATACCAGGTCTCAGGAAGTGTGAGTGTGTTTAATTTACTAATTTAGCATATTCCTTTATGACATTCATTATTGTCTCAGTGAATTCAGAAAATTACACTTCACTAATTGCATTGTGTTTGTTCTGTCTTTCAGATTCCTGTCCACTAACAGTCGACCTAAACACTGTAAACAGATTCCTCAAACTTTCTGATAAAAATAAGAAGGTGACGCGTGTGGAAGAGGAGCAGCTGTATCCTGATCATCCAGACAGATTTGATTCCTATCAGTTGCTGTGCACTGATGGTCTGACTGGTCGCTGTTACTGGGAGGTTGAGTGGAGTGGGAGGGTCTACATATCAGTGAGTTACAGTGGAATCAAAAGAAAGGGAGACAATGATGACTCCTGGTTTGGCTATAATGATAACTCCTCGAGTCTAATCTGCTCAGATGATGGTTACACCATTTGGCTCAATAGTGAAAAGAAAGCCTTCATCCCTGTTCCCTCCTTCTCCTCGTCCTCCTTTGTCTCTGGCAGAGTTGCTGTGTATGTGGACTGTCCTGCTGGGACTCTGTCCTTCTACAGAGTCTCCTCAGACACACTGATCCACCTCTACACCTTCAACACCAAATTCACTGAACCTCTTTATCCTGGATTTGGGTTTGAGTACAGGACAGGTTCCTGGATGTCTTTGTGTTCACCTTAAGCCCCCATACTTTAGTGATTGTCATTGTTCATCTGGACTAAACTGTCACAATAAATGTAACATATTTTTCCAGACTTTTACTCATTCCAGAGGAGAAATCACATCAATCAAAAACTCATGTCACACAGAAGTAGAGTTTAGATCAGGTCTGAAAAATCCAACCTGACCCGGCCTGAGCCTGTGTACAGTGTGTCCGAGCCCGACCCAAATAACTTTGTTGGTCCAAATTAAACCCAATATATCATTTTAATTAAGATTTTACTGTTTCATTTTTAGACCATAGTTTGAGTATAGCAGTGTAAATTCAGCTGCTTTTAGCTTTTGCTTAAGATCTTTCAGCTCCATCTTGTTGCTTGTTGTAACCACAGGATGAGTCAAGTGCAAATGATCTGGGATGTGTGACTGATAGAAGTAGAGCAGAAATGGGCTACATGTGCATTAGTGCACTGGGCTTTTACACTCCAATTAACTTCTTCCTTTTTCTTTCTGTCCTCAACAAAATAAACTACCTCTTCCCCTATTAAGACTATGATAAGCTGATCAGCACAACTTTATAGCCTGCATTCTCATTTGGTTTTCTCTGGGCTGTATGAATTGCGTAAATGCACCACAGAAACCTGAGCCGACCATCAAGCAAATCATTTTGGCCCGAACTGTCCCACATTTTGGGTCAGGTTCCAGTTGAGCTTGGGCCTTAAATCTAAAGTCAACACTGAACTAAAAGACTATTTAGAAACTGTCAAACATGAGTGGGACCTTGTCCAAGTTTATTTGATCCTACATGTTGAGTTCAGTTGCCTGTTTTTCAACAAACTCATGGAAACTATTGAGTTTGGCTTGAAAGTCAGAGCACCGATGTCTGTGTTCTGACAGAGAGGCGGTTGCATTGCATGAAGCGGAAACGGCAATAAGGCCCACCTGTAAAGTAATTTATATTCATTTCTTTGGCAGCTACCAGGGTGTGGCGATGTAGGGCCACCATTGACAAGCCTCTTCCATCAACACGTTCTTCAAAAACCCATCTGTGGACTCGTTTCTCAGGCTTTGGCCGTCTTGCTTTCACTCCGGATGATCTTTTTCACATATGGTGATGTTAACTCCTCAATTCATGTCCATCAATATAACATTTAACACATGAATCAAAAATGCATCATGAAGAGGGAGAAAGTTGCACCTGATTATAAGTCATAGGACCACCAAACTATGAAAAAAAGTGTGATAGTCTGGAAAATATGGTAAAAAGGAAAAAGAACTTTGATCTTTAATCTAAAAAACAAAAACTGATCAATCATTCAATAAATTGGCAGCTGTTAAAAATAAGCCAGTCTTTTCTTCCTGTTCATCCATCCATCCATCCATTTTCTATACACCCTTGTCCCTTAGTGGGGTCGGGTTGCTGGTGCCTATCTCCAGCGAACGTTTTGGGCGAGAGGCGGAGAACACTCTGGACAGGTCGCCGGTCTGTCACAGCTTCCTGTTAATACAACAAAACAAATCAGCTCTCACCTCGAACCCCATTGAATCAAAAAGCACAACATATAGATGTTACCCAAATATAATAACTTAACAAAAATCTAAAGCATACAGTTTGGTGTAGGGTTTGGTGCATTGTGCATATCATTCCCACTTGGTGGATCCATATCATCACTGTTGGCTGAGTAGTGAGTACAGACTATGAGCCTCTTTTGCTCCAAGGGACAAACACCCTATTTGCATCAGGGCCTACATAAAACTGACGTGTTGGGTTGTGACAAATTTGAAAATAATATTTGTAACATGATAGTTGGTTTAGTTCTACTAATATTTTTTCTTCCTTCTTTGCCATTCTTTTTATTTTTTGTTGGCTGTAGTGGCCTTTATTTGAAAGTAGTTCGACAGAAAACAGGGTTATCAGAAAGGGGGAAAACATGCGGCAAATGTCACCAGGCTGGGAATCAAACCTGCAACCACCGCCATAAGGACTAAGGCCTCAGTACGTGGGTTGTGCCAAGCCCCTGCGCCACCACAGCACCCTGTTTGCCATCCTTTTACAGTGACACTACCACTGGTAGAACATCTGCTCTCAGATGTTTCGGCATGATTCGTGGATTCTCACTTGCATAATAGGATTTTTTTCTTGCCTCCACCACCATGGAGGAGACATCACTGCCAATATGTTTATTATTTGAACAACTAATGAATTACAGTAGTTTTATCACGGCAAAGGCTGTCCATCATGTACAGAATCTGTTACTAATCCCTCTCAGGCATTGGGGATTAAAAACACTGAAGTGTTTAAGGAGTTGCACAGTGACTTGCATTATTTTATTTAGAATCTCTAAAACACTTTTCTCAGGTAAAATGCAGGGCCTTCTTTCTAACAGTGCCACATGCACATATTGGATTTCCCTGACAAACTTTATTCAGTCAAATATATGTGAAATTTGGAGATGTGCGTGCTTCACTGCAGCTCATAGCTCTGATCCATATGGAGATTGTAGCTATAACAGGACTTGAAGCTGCTTTGAAAAGGGATTATAAGGAAATGGGGAAAAATACTGCTTCTTGTTCTTTGGGTTTTATTTTCCCATCTTTAAAGAGAACTAAAAATATATTTATATAGTGAAGCATCTAAATCTTTTATAATTGCTTAATTCTAAACTTTGTTTATTTTAATCATTGTTTTTTAAAATCCTCTAAGCACTTTGAGATTTTTGTATTAGTCTGTCAATGAGACTTGTTTGCTTGAATTGGTTGTTTTTTCTGTTATTTCAGTTATCTCTTAAAGAAATGACCTTTGTTTTTATGTCATGACCTTGTGGTTAAAAGCAACAAAAAAGCTAAACAAACTGAGCTTTAACCTTTTTATGGGAGTAGATGGGCAAATAAAACCTTTTAATTTTTATACTGGTAATGATAAATACTGATAATTAAGCAACCAAATTATGATTTTGGGTTTACTGATTTATCATTTTTTGCACTGTTTCCATGACAATAATTATAATCCATTTTTAATTGTGTGCCGTTCAGTGGTACAAAGGCAGAATCTAATGTAACTTTTACTTTATGCTGAAGCCTGTTTATAACTGGCAGTCCTGAGATGATTATAAACTGTGACTAGCAGACAGGCAGCCATACAATCCTACTGCTTAAAATGAACTGATTTTTAAAAACTTTTTATCATGTCTTTTACCTTATTTTTACTAAATTACACAATATTGTAATCTAAAGTTGAATATGTGTTCCTACTTCTGTGTGCTTGATGTAATTTTTTATCTGCTCACTTGTTTACATGTTGGTACACTATGAATAATAAAGACAAACATTGATGTCAGTAGGTTTTTTTGTTCTGCTTATATCAGTAATAAACGAAGTTGGGGATATTTCACGTACCGTAAGATAAATACATTTACATTCACAATATGGTAGACTTTTTGCTAACCAGAGAAAAGCTCAGAAGTGAGCTGACTGCTGACTGAGAAGAGTCCTTCTCGCTTCACTGTGTCCTTGGAAACATAAAAACAGCACACATAACTTTATTTACAGCAACAAACCTGGATGTGACTGTAAACACAAAAGAAATTACGAATTCAGGAATGGGTCCTCTATGAGTGACTCGTAAAGGTCTCTGCTTATTGATTTTAAATCATTGACAATGCTGTGTACTATATCTAATGGTCTAAAATCTAAATAAATAAGCTTCAATGTTCTGACCTCAGTATGCACAGTGCCACAAAATGATAGCATGACTTAAAACTGGCATAGCCAACTTTTGTAAAAATGTTTTTAACATATTTGTTAAAACTGTTACCATGTCTTGACAGTGTAATATGTGACCAAGATATTATGGAGAAACAATGAACCCCTCTACCTTCTCCCTGTGGATGTACTGCGATCTGCAGAAACACACAACTGGGTAAAAAAAAACAACCAATAAATGGTTTTCCTGTAACGTCAGGTTGTTTCTCTACCATTAGCACAGCTGCTGCAAACTTAGTACAGCTGAGTGTGTTTATAATTAATACTTTAAAGTTAAATGGATTTCAAAAAGTAGTGGAACAGTGCAAATTAATTATTTATTCACCTCCTAATTGGTAAAAATCAATGTATTACTTTTTAATTTATGTACATTATAAAACAGCGTAAATTAAGACAATATCAACATAGTACCAAAATAAACAACAAACAAAGCAGAAAGACAGTTTAGCTCAGTCAGATATGATGTGTAACTGTGGTGAACATCAGCTGTACCCAGAGCACTATCCAGGGTTTATGGGGGTTCAGGCATAACCTTGGTGAGGAGCCCTTTGTCTGTTCAGGACATTACCACCACTAAATTTAAGTATTTGTGTTATAAGCAGAGGCTTTGTTTGCTTATGCCTTGGGCCATCTCTGTAGCTGCCTCATACATTTCTCTAGGAGTTGATTGTTCTGCTACCAAAGAAAACTCTACCGTCAGTCATCAACAACTTTTGACCTGTTGCCCTGACATCCCACATCATGAAGGTCCTGGAGAGGCTCCTGTTGGCCCACCTGAGTAAGCAGACAAGTACATATCAAGACCCCCTGCAGTTTGCATATGGTGTGGAGTTGGAGTTAAAGACTCTTCAACAAACCCGCTGTCATCTGGACAAAGCAGGCAGAGCTGTGAGGATCAGGTTCTTTGATTTCTCCAGTGCATTTAACAGCCTGATCTGCTCTGTGAGAAACTCCAGAAGACACAGGTGGAGGCCTCAACAATCACCTGGATCTATGATTACCTGACAAACAGACCACAGTTTGTGAGACTGAAGGACTATGTGCCTGTCTAACCAGGTGGTAACACAGGAGCACCACAGGGGACTGTACTCTCACCATTCCTTTTCACTTTCTGCACTTCAGACTTCCACCACAAGTCTGACTTCGGTCATCTACAGAAATACTCAGGTGACTCTGCAGTTGTCGGTTGTATCAGAGATGGACAAGAAGCTGAGTACAGAGAGCTGGTGGACCACTTTGTGTCATGGTGTGGGAACAATCAACTCATCTTAAATGTGAACAAATCAAAGGAGATGACTGTAGATTTCAGGAGAAACAGGATTAGATCAAACCCTATTTCAATCATGAGAGAAGAAGAGGAGATGGTTAATGAATATAAATACTTCGGTGTTCATCTAGACCAGTGTTTTTCAACCTTTTTTAAGCCAACGTACACTGTTTTAATTGAAAAAATCATGAGGCACACCACCAGCCA